ATATGGTCTTGAACAATTCTCACCCCATGAACTAGCTTTTGGAGTTGAGTTAGGCTCAAAGTCCATTTTTCTTAACATTGTAATTAGATTAAGATATTAATTGAAGAACAAAGGAATAAGCCATTTCGTACCCTGATGAAAAGTGGAACAAAATAGTCAGCCATTTCATATTTACCGCCTGATCTTTGGAGCTGGTTAATTGTTCATTCTATGTGATGACATGATTGTATGACGGGCATGAGAAGGTGATTGCCAATGAAAAGATTGACGAAGTTGTAAACTATACCTGATGTTAATGGAAATACAAAATACTCTCTCGGATCTTATTTTATATGACTCTATTTGACCGGAGTATAAAGGGCAGCCCGGTGCACTAAGCTCCCGCTATGTGCGGGGTCCGGGGAGTATAAGATGTTAAATTCACTTAGTTATTCTATTAGTATTAGTACAATGGAAGAAACAATAAGTTTGAGAGAAATTATCATATCACAATTAACATTTGTATAGTGAAATGTACTTGAATTCTTATTAGTTGTGAAAGGTGTATAGAAATAGTATGGTGTCAAATGTGTTGTGGCATCCCAAAATTTAAAGAATGTCATATAAATTGGGATGGAGAGAGTGCATTATTATTTGGCAGCAGAATAGACTTTTGATTCAGTCTCATCATATCACTTTCTTTGGTGAGATAGATAAATTTCAGTTTTATGTTTATGCTGCTATAATGTAAGTATTAGTCTGGCCATGACTGAGTGACACAGATTTCCTCTTTTTTGGAAAAGAGCAGTTCATATACGATCTACCTGCTAGGTTAGCGAAGTGCATCAAATCAGAAGCCTATGCTGATGCAGTAAAATACTATACAGGAGCCATGCCCATTTTCAAGGTTTGCAGTGATCCTTGGGTCCACATCTTTATCCTTTTCATGATATCATTGCATTTAAAAATCTTAGTTTTGCTGATGTTACTTATTTGTACTAGGCTTATGGGAACTCTTCATTCCAGGACTGCAAACGAGCCTCAGAAGAAGCAATCGCTATCATTATTAAAGCCTTGCAGGTCTGTAAGTGATCCAATTTCTTGGCTGGGAGTGGCCAGTTTATTCGGTGGAGGTAGTTGTAGTGTTTGTATAATTCCCATGCACCAAGTAGATCCCTGCGACTACTTTTGAAGGAGCATAGGGTAAACATAAAGTAGGAAAAGCAATTTTCTGGACATATACCCTGCTTATTTGGTTTTACTGTTAAGAAAAAACAGTTGGACTTCATGATGCATATTACTTTTTGTTTGCTTTTCAGGGCAAGGTATTCTCGGATTCCGAATCCATACAAGCCAGGGCAGAGGCTGTTATGCTCCTTAAGCAATTAGATTTTCCGGTCTGTATCACGCCTCCTCCTTTTCCTGCCGTGTCCATCTACTTCTTGTCTTCTGGTGCATGGTTCACTTTGGTCTTGAACTAATTTGAGATGAATTCTTTGATTTTTCATAAGAATCTCCATCTCTTTCCGTAGAAGCAAAATTTGTAACTACAAAGTTCCCTCATTCCCATTTTGTGTCACAGTCACTTTACCTTTTCGAAAATTTAATTTCTTTGATTATGACATTCACAAGCATTTTACAGTATCGACAAATAAATTTTTGGGTCTGTGTCATGCCTCATCCAGTAATTAATTGTGGATGATTAACCACAATATTCAGAGGGTGATTAACCACCCTGATATTCAGAGGGTAGTGGCGTCAACATTTTACCGTTATTTATTGTGGCAGTAATAAATTAGAGAAGCCAGCCTAAAAGTATTGATTAACCACTCTTCGACACCTCAAAGGGGTAGCGTGATGCACTTAGCTCCGGTAGCATGGGATCCCGGGAAGGGCCATATCATATTGGGTCTATTGTGCGCAACTTTACCTAACAATCTAGAATTTCGGCAAGAGGTTGTTGCCACAGCTTGAACCTGTCACCTTTTGGTCACACTGTGACTACTCTTGCTGTTGCACCTATGCTCCCCTTCAGTCTTCAACACCTAAAAAATTAGAATATGCTTTCTTTGTGTAATATACCACAAATGACTGCATTTCTTTTTTTGTTTTGTCTTTTCCAAGTAAAGGTTGGAGAATGTGAAGAATGTCTCAAATAATAGTAAAGGACATATCAGAACTTCTCAATTTATTTTGAGGCCTATTACTATGGTTAGAGACTTGAGATCAGGGAAAACACAACCATTTTGTATGCCGGTCTCATAACATGGAACATGTTGCAGGCTTCTGATAAATATAAATACTCCAATGGTAAAAGGGAGAAATAAAAAGAAGAGTAAACTCGCCCAGGTTCGGTCTTCAAGCTAGTGGGGACAGCTTGAGAATAACTATCCAAGTTTGTGTAAATATAAAGATTGAGGGCCATAAAATTAAGTGCATCCCTCTAGATTTAACAACTCTGCTATCCTATAATCTTCAAACGTGCAGTGCAATAAAGTGGATTGGAAGTTCAAACGTCTTGTTGTTGTGACTTTGCCTTTGGAATTATATGTCTATGTTGCAGGTTAATAATTTGAAGGTGCAACTCTTTGGAAAGTTAGAAGAGTTCCTTGTGGATCTCCATCTAGAATCTAAGGAAATAAGACATTCTTCATCAGACCTTGGTGGGATTCCGTTATCGCCTTCTTCTTGTGCTCATGAGGTATGTCAAAGCAATATAACTAATATTCTTGGAATTTTTCCACTTTAAACCTATCAAAAGAAAAAGAGAAGGAATGTAAGATAAAGAGTGCGTTTAGTACTTAAAAGAGAACTTCTAACATCTATAAACAATTAATAAACTTCATCTGGCATGACCGTCACATTTGTATGAAAGAGAATACACGTCACTGAGAGAGACGGCATCTGCTCATGCCGCTATCACATATTTCCGCTCAAAAAAAGAAATGTTATGTTTCTTTCAGCGTGTGTCAATACCAAAGAAAACAGATATGGTAGCTTAAATATGCTTCTGCCAGAAACCTTTGGAGTATCACTTATTTTTCTCCTTTCCAGTTCTCGTACTGTACTTGATAAATTGTCCTCTTTACAACTTTAGGCTTCCATTCGTGAATTTGCTGAGGCTGTCCGCGCTTATCGAGTTATTTTCCCTAATTCCGAACAACAGCTCTTTAGACTTGCAAAAAACTTAGCTACAAAGTATGGGTGCACTTCTCTTTTCCTCCACTTTGCTTCGTGGCTGAAATTGATCTTGCTTTCTGGATATTGTTTGTGCATAAATTTCTATATCTGAACAGTATAACAGAGCAACTCTGTTGAAAACTTTAGGCACTTTGAAGCCACACAACAGCACATCAAGAAGCAGCTCGCTTCAGCAGACCTTGTCACCATGTTGCGTAAGTTCCAGTCGCCATTACTTCATCGTCACATTTAGTGTTGGTCTTTACTTTGTTTTCCATGTTAGATGCTTCTCTTCCGCCTTTCTCCAGGGATTCATAGCCATCATTATCTTTCACCATTTGCCATCTGCTATTTATGTAGCACTTGAGAAAAACACATCATTTCAACTCGCTCTATGCTTGGTTAGGTTTAGCCATATAGGACAGCAGGCTGAAGGTTTTAAATTCTCGATATCCTTCTTTGCTTTTTGTCAAAAAACGAACCGTTGTTGCTTTTCTCATATTACCATAAATGATACTGCCTTACAGGCCATCTTATGATCTTCCAACTTGCAAGGCAGCTCAGTCCTATTTGACGTGTACTTGTTATTATTGTTCTATCTTAGGCAAAGTCCTGTCCACTTGTCATCTCAGAAGGAGAATGATGTTTATGCAAGCTTTGTGCTCAAGAGCTCTTCTGGAAATGTTGATCCATACATGGCTGAAACACAATGTCTCTAGGGAGGATATTGTCTTCTTTTTCTTGGTTAATTTCATGCATGGTCACTAAACTTTATATGTTGTATCAGTAAAGTCACAAACTAATTTTTGTCTCATTAAAGTCACTGAACTATGTGTTAGTTGCGCAGAAAATACAATTTACTGAAGTATTTTTTGTGACTTTACTGATACAACAGGTAAAACTTAGTGACCATGTGTGAAATTACCTGGGGTTTGGTTGTTGGGATTGGAAATATTATCATATGCTAATGCAGAAGGACAATAAGAGAAGCTAATACCAAGAGGGACACACACTCATATTTTGAAGAGTTTGTGATTATCCTTTTTAGTTGATACTTTCTGTGTTTCTCACTTGATTTTGAGGATCATTTAAGCCTCAATTAACTCTTGATTCTTTTAGTCGGTTTTGTCTTATGCAAGTATTTAGCTTTTCAACTGTCACAAAAAAAAATTCTAGTGAAATGCTACTGTAACCTAGCTATTCAGTTTTGTCGAAGGTGTGCTTGCACCCCAAAGTGTGGTGCAATGCAAGATAGGGTCTTGCCTTAGCTTAGGTGGTGTTCAGCAAAGATGCCAAGGTGTTACAGGGTGCGCCTCAGCAAACCCTGTCAACGGCTACTTTTTTTGAAAGGTCAAAGTTTTATCAGGCTCATGTTCATGAAAAGGCAACACTAAACTATAAATATAGCCAAGAAAGCGAGTTCTTGATTGATTAAGAACATTGTGGATGAATATGATTGTAATTACTAAATAAGGTATATGTAATAAAAAATTTAGTACAAGAAAATCAGTCCACAAATCTTTATTTGTCCCCCTAAAAAATAATCTGAATCAGAATGCATCTTTGCATTTACATCAGAAATTTAAGGTGGTTTCCGAATTTGATTGACTCGGTTTTTAACTTCATTTATTTCTCTTAATTACAGTCTTCCAGTTCTTCTACCCTTATAATTGTTGTTTGTTCGCATGGTTATTGAGTGACATGCGTGTGTGTGTATAACTATTAGTTTTTCTTTATTCTGGACCTTTATTCACTGACTGTGCTTTATTTAAGCTTTGCACTCAAAACCTTCTACACCTCGCTTTTCTACCTTTGTCTTTGATCGCACTGGCTCTTTGTAGACACCACTTATGCACGTAGTGACTGCTAATTGATGCAAATTGTTCTTTTACACATATTTTTCCTCAGGGGTAATTTGGACAAATGTGCTTCTGATGGATGAAGTGCTGCCAGAGGCTGGTCTGCGTGATTTTACATTTGAGGTTGCTTATAATAGAAATGAACGTTATAGATTCATCTTGTTCGGCTGGGTCTGTTGTTACAGTAATGGGTTTGGTATATCTGATAACCCCTGTGTGGTTTCAGGCTGCTCATGTTGCTATCAAACAATATTTTGCTTGCAGATTTGGTCATCTTCTGCTAGATATTTCAGGTATATCTTTTTAAACTGGCACTGCTGGATAAAAAATCTAAAACTTGACTCATACTAAATATGTTAGGTTTTAGGTTTAAGAGTTATACCGGCATCTTTAAGAAGGATGTGTAAAATGGAAAACTATTAATTTGCACAAAGTAATCCAGAACCTCATTATTTCTTCTTAGATAGCTACTCTGTCCTATATTGAATCTTGTGAATCGTGATGTGATTTAGCAAAGTTTATTAAGAAGATAACTAAAAATAATAGATTATCATAAGTCTTTCAGAGGATAAAAACTGTTGAATATTCTTCAAAAAAAGTCTGAGGTCCATCTTATATGTTGTATCGTCTCAGATTCAGAACTTAATGCACAATTTATGACTATCTTTTTCTTCCTTTTTTTTATATTATTTGGGTTATTCCAAAATCTTAACTGCCCTTAGATGGTAAATAAGTTCTATCAAAGAAAATGACCTTTAATACGAAACCACTTATTTGACATGAGCTCTAAATTAGTCCGAGTTTGACTGTCGCTTTACTTTCTTTTAAATTGGCAGGTACTCTTGTAAAAGTCCATGATAATCAAAAGGGTGTAATTGAAGAAGAGTATCCTTTGCAGGCTGCCCTTGAGATCAGCAAAAATGCATTAGTTCAAGGCAGCATGGATGCCTTACTGGTAAAAAGTAGTTCTGTGGCTTTATATGAATTAAGAAGTTATCGTGAATCTCTGTATCAAAAAATTCATAAGTTGGTTCAAAGATCAAAGCTGCTGACCTTTTAGTTTTCAGTGGGACTGGTTCTTAAAGTAGTTGGTTTCTGATGATTGGTTTCGTTCCCTAGCCTCCATATTTCTTTTCTTTCACCATTTGATTCTACCCAGAGAATGGTTTAAGTAAGAATTGTAGAAAACATGTGGAATTGATAGATCAAAGAGGATTTCCGCCAAACCTGTGAATGGAGCTAAAGTGTTGGTGAATCCCTTGGGAACTAAACTGATTTTTATTTACAAGGTATAGGTAAGAATCATGTACCAGTAACACCGAGTGAGTTCTTTTTCACGTGGATTATTCTGTGATATGCATCTAGAGCTTCTTGAATAGTGGAGTACTGTGAACCAAAGTCTTTTACTGATGAAGTTATGTTACTACATGAAATGAGGGTGCATTAAAATTTTCTGCCGCTATAACTACTGACCTACTTCGGTCTTTGCTGTTATAAAGGGTCATTCTAAGTTTGATCTCAAGTAACAGACAAACAGTTTTTATTATGCCAAAATTGTCAGGAAGGTGACTCAACTGAACAAAAGACTTGTTGCGAAAATTACTGAGCATACCTCCGATTTTTATTTTTTTTTGAAAAAAGCTATAAGATCAGAAAGTAGAAATGGGTAAAACTAGCACCTTGATTTCAGATACACTCTATCAGAGTGCAGCTTCTAGATTTCCAGTCAATTGTGTATTTTATTGTACTTTTACTTTGATTTTTCATATAACAGGATTTCCGTCGACTTCTTGATGAGAACTTGGAAGTGCTATCAGCGTTGACAGACTTGATCATTGATTGGGTGCAAGAAGGATTTCAGGAATTCTTCAGGAAGCTTAGTGATCAATTTCTCGTGCTTTCGCGAAAGAAATATTCAGCTAATCAGGACCTTATCTTTTGGGAGGGAATGCAGGGTGATAAAGTACTTCCTGGGCTTGTTCTTTTGCTGGCTCAACTCTCTGTTTTTATTGAGCAAAATGCCATTACCAGAATTAGTGAGGCAAGGAGTTGTCTAATCATTACCTCAGTATAGTTCCCTTATCTGCCCCATCTAAATGAGCTTTTTGAATTTTTCAAATTTTCAGGAAATATCTCCTTTTTCTGGCAGTGGGTATCGGGGCCATGACAATGGTCCAGCTTTTGTTCCTGCAGAAATTTGTCGTATCTTTCAATCAGCTGGTGAAGAACTCTTGCAGCATGTATGTATCTGAATTCTGAACATTTTCGTACTTCTACAAACATCTCACTGTTATTTGTTTTACTGGTTGACTTTGCCAGAGGTGTATGGATTAATTTATTTGATCTATAGAGGAAGTTTACCATGTCTAGTCTTTGCTGTTTTCATGCTTGTATTTAGTAGCTTTGATACCCATTTAGGCCTTCGATGATAAACTTATGCCATATAAAAGGAAAACTGCCAGTCTTTTATTGGGACGGAGAGGTTATTGCAGTATACAAAAACAGCATTTCCTTTGTTTTTGTTTTTCTGATAAGTTGCAAAACCGTTATTCTTATTTCATTGGATTAATCACAAAAACAATATTTTTTTTGTTTCGGATTTATAAATTTTTTTCTGGGAATCAATTTTATGTCTAGCCTGCAAACTTTGTCAGTCATTTCCATTTAAATTGCTATTCTCCATTTTATTGTGAAAATTGGAGCATCTGAATCATTGAGCATACGATGCTAAATTTTTCTTATGAATTATGTTATTCATATTAAGGAAAATGAAGCTTGTGATATTTGTTTTATTTCCTTCGTTGGTAGATAGCTAATAGAGTTTAATCTTTTTTTTTTAATTTATAAATTTGAATTTAATTAGAGTTTAATTAAAAAAAAACTGAGTTTTAATTCTATTTCAATCTCCTGTTTCAGTATATAAGCTTGAAAACACGGAAGATACTGATTCTGTTGAAGAAGAGGTTTATAACCCCCAATTGGGTTAAGGTAAGCAGACATGGTCAGCTAGCACTAATCACTTGTAAGCGCATTACGATGATGGCTTGTGCTAATTTTTGCCCTACCTTCCTATTTCTATTCCCTCTTTGTATAGCATAAAGAGCCCAGGGAAGTTCATATGTTCATTGATCTGCTTCTCCAAGAGGTAAGTTCTGCGCGTTTCGTCTTCTCTTCCTGTTCCAAGATCAGGTTTTTGTAATAGGATATTGAAGCACAGAGGAGTGAAAAGTAGCACCTTTTAACTTATTTGACATACACTATAGTTTCTTCTCCAATAATAGTCAATATGACAATAGTTTAGTTGAAAACTTAACCTTTTTCCTGTTTGATCTCATTTCCAGCTGGATACAATCCTTAATGAAGTAAAGCAAATATTGCCTGAAGGGCTCCACCGTAAGCATCGGCGTACAGACAGCAACGGGAGTAATACATCTTCTCGTAGTAATCCATTGAGAGATGATAAATTGGTACGTTCAAATACCCAAAAGGCCAGGAGTCAGCTTCTTGAGTCCCATTTAGCAAAATTGTTCAAGCAGAAGATGGAAATTTTTACTAAAGTTGAACACACACAGGTTTGGTTCTAGTGTTTCTAACTCAAAAACCTGCACTAATTTTGGAAATCAATGAAATAAGGATCACGTCATGTGCAGGAATCCGTCATAACTACTATTATAAAACTTTTCTTGAAGAGTTTACAAGAATTTGTCCGACTTCAGACTTTTAACCGAAGTGGATTTCAACAAATTCAGTTGGACATTCATTTTCTTAAGACCACTCTTAAGGATACTGCTGAAGATGAAGCTGCAGTTGATTTTTTGCTTGATGAGGTAAAGACGGAATCTCCTAATACTTAACAGCTACTCTGTCAATGACTTGTACCTGTTTTGCCTTCTTTAGTGACCATCCCATCCTAGCTCCCTTCCCGACCTCTCCCCCCCCCCCCCCCCCCCCCCCNTAAATTGTAGTATAAATCATCCAGTTGCTTGTCACTGCATATACTGGAAGTAGCATGCTCCAACCGTTTTTATCTAGCAACAAATGATAAAGGGTGTTTCTTGCTGAACAGGTGATTGTTGCTGCTGCTGAACGCTGTCTTGATCCCATTCCTTTGGAACCTGCTATCGTAGACAGGCTTACCCAAGCAAAGTTGGCAAAAAATTCTGAACAGAGTCCTACTTCATAATAATGTGGGGGGCCTGGGAGCTCAAATGCATCGTGCCGCGACTGATGACCTTGCTGTAATCAGAAAGCATGCACCTGATGCTAAGTACATATTGGAAGGAACATCCACCCTGCTTTGAAGTTTTTGCGGGTAGAGTTGAATTCAAGATTTAAAGTTAAATGGGTTCAGAATGGATATGATCTGTCATATCTTTACATTTTTTATTTTTTTTAAATATTTGTATAAGTGATTCGAGCAGAAGATAGTGGTTTTAGTTGAACCCCAAAATTTGCTCTAGATTTGCCTCTATTTACAGGCAACATGGCGTATACATCTCTTTTATAGAGAATAGAAGCATTGCCAATTTGCCAGTCAGCTCTGGTTCTTTGACGAATCACGTTGCAACTGAGTTTATGTGCATCACTAATTTGTTGAGGAGCCGGCTATTAACGTGGTTGCAGAATTTTCCAAATGGAAGTAGGCGTAGAGTGAATTTCGAAATTTGTAAATTCATTTTATTTAATCAGTTAATCAATGAGTCATTTGTTTTGTTTAATCCCTAAATTCCAATTTAACTGGCTAGGTTGACTTTCACTATCAACATTGCCAAATTTAACCATCAAATTATTATTAACATCTTTAGTCTTTTTGCAGCAAGAAGTTAAATCGTATTCTATACTTCCCCTGTTAAGACTTTCAAATTTTTTGTCTTAATTCAGACATCAATTACTCGTTTTAAAAAAAAATACGTAATTAGAACCTAGATTAAAAAAAAGGATTAGTATAAATCACAACTTGTTATAACAAGATATTTAAATATATATTATGAAAAAAATTGTTTGAATAACTAAATAATAATGTTATATGAAGAGGAAGATGTGGAGTGATACTTTTGTTATCGTTTAATAATTGGCCCCTACTGCAACGAAATTGGTCAAAGTGATAACCATCAAATTACACTTAATGTATGACAAATGGACTAATTAAATTGGTTTGAGTTAGGGTGGGCATTCGGGCTTGGTTTGAGTTAGGGTGGGCATTCGGGCTGCTCGGATTGCATATAAAAATTTCGGTTTGGATTTTCGATTTTCGGATTGAAGAAAGAAAAAATGACCCTCTATAGTCCCTGAAAATTTTCTTAACCCATATTTTCCCCCATAGACCTGAAATAGCCATTAGGCCTGATTTAATGACAAATTATAGCCACTATTCCCAATGCACTTCTTTCCTTTTCGGTCTCCTACTCCCTTCTCTCTCTCTCTCTTCTCATCTTCTCCCTTCTTCAATCTTCTTCAATCTACCAATGACTTCCATGTTTCCCTCTCTTCTTATCTTTTCCCTTCTTCATTCCCTCCTTTTTTTTCTTTTTTCTTTTCTTCTCCTATAGCGACATCAACATATATCTTTTTAAAACTTCTCTTTTTTTCTTTGAGATCTCCTCCTCCTTTACTTAGATGCAAAAATATCTACCTTCTTTGAGTAATTTCCGGCAAAAGCCTAGCGGTGGTTGCCGCTTTCTTCGCTTTTTGTCCACTTTCAGATATAATATTGCATGATATTTTTTCGGAAGAATTTTGCAAGAAGATGAAAAATGGAGAAAATAAACGACCGGAGAAAAGTTTTTTTCCGGCCAAGTTCACTATCCTCCATTACTGTCAGTGCTCCTTTATTTATACATTGTGTAATCAGTGTATAATAATGGTATAATATGCTGTATAATCAGTATGTATATATTTTACACTAATGATACATTTATTATACACGTATTATACAAAACTGGACATGACAGATTAAAATGGCTACATCGAGTGTTGAGAATATTGTATATAATGTGTATATATTATGTATGCACATTTATATGAAAGGTGTATCTACACTTATATAGTACATGTACACTTTTTATACAAATTCAATGTTGATATAATTTAGTATATAAAATATATAATAGTATACATATACATTTATTATACACGTATTATACAAAACTGGGCGTGAAAGATTACAGTGACTACATTAAGTGTTAAGAATATTGTATATAATGTGTATATATTATATATGCATATTTATATGAAAGGTGTATCTACACTTATATAATACATATACATTTTTTTATACAAATTCAATATTCATATAATTTTGTATATAAAGTATATAGTGTATATATGCAGTGCACATAGAATTTATAATTGTATATAAAGTAAATAATTAATATATCTTCTATATATAAACTGTATAATTTTTCTCTCGTAAATACTCAATCTTTCTTTCTTTTCCTCTTTTAGATCTTATTTCTTTAAGTTCAATTTGTCTGTTTATACTGCATTTTATTTTTTCTTCTTCTCACTCCCCCACCCCCACCCTCTTTTAGTCCTTAATTCTTTAGGTTTGGTGGTGGAATTGGGGTGGATGAGGCTGGTTCAGGAGTGCGTGAGTCTACTTGTTGATGATCTATCATTTTTGGGGTGTGGGGTAGGGCAGTGCGGTGGCAGCAGTGCGTGGAGGTGGTAGCGGCGGCGGTGCAATAGTGGCAGGGCGATGGTGGAGCTTTTTTGTGTGGATGTATGATAGATGGTAGAAAATAAAAGATAGATGTGGTGGGTTTGGTGGAATTTGGGTTGACCATTCTAATATCTTTTAGACTACTAAATGTATCTGCAATTTTGTGGCTACCAAATGATATAAGTTTGCAGCGAGTGGCTACAAATGAATTTTGCTCTTGAAGAAATGACAATCCAAATCCAATCCAAATAAGTTCGAATTGGATCGGACTTTTTAAGTTCTGTTTCAGATTAATGGGTTTGGATATTTTGGATTTTCGGTTTTGAGCTTATAAGTTGAGATGTCTCTTCATTTTACAAAAATGAGTATCCAAATGAAGTACTCGTGTTAAATTGCTGGAAAAGTTTCTCATTCTCACCACATCACCCAAATGAGTATTCAAGTAATGAAATTATTATCAAAACAATACAATAGAAACATTAATACGGCCGATAAAATACCTGTCATAAATATAAGTGCACACTTTAGAAAGAGAAACTCTCCCTTCTCTCTAAGAATACCTACATGGACATAACTACTACATCGCCAATTATACCAACGGAACCAGCAGACAAAAATAACCAAATGGATGTGGATGAAACAACAACACACTACAAGGATCAAAGATGATAAAGAAAAAAGTATTGAAGGCTCAATTGCCCTTTCACAAGAAGATAAGAAACGCCTATACCAACCATGGCCCTTCTCAGTAATCATAAGGGTCTTTGCTCATAGAATGTTTCACTGTTACCTTCGATCTAAACTGATTGACCTATGAAAACCATCCGAAAAGTTAATTTTGATTGACTTAGGATGGTACTTCTTCATTGTCAAATTTGTTTTAGAGGAAAATAGCTAAGGCACTACACCTAGGGCCATGGTTCGTCATTGGGAATTTCCTATCAATGCGTAAATGGGAACCAAAATTCGTCCCATAAGATGTTACATTATCTTCATGACCGTATGGATTTGCTGATCCCAACTACCAACAAAATTCTATGACAAAGAAATACTGGAAAAAGTTGGTAGAAAACTTGGTAAACTACTCAAAATCGACTCATGCACACCATCCACGTTGAGAGGAAGGTATGCACGCATCTGTATCCAAGTACCACTTGAAAACCCGGTGAAAACATCAGTAGTCATTAGTGATCACAAGCAAGCAGTGATTTATGAATGTGAAGGTACGTTATGTACAACGTGTGAAAGAATTGGCCACACAATAAAAAATTACAAATTCAAAAATTTTCAACCATCACTGTCACAAGAAGCCCCTGAAAATCCGGGAATACACACCAAAGAGGGTGAGGACGATGGATGGAAGACAGTCACTTTCCCTATCTAAAGAAACCAAGCTAACAACCTATGAAGGGAAGGAACAACGGAAACGAAAGCGATCAGCATCATGCACAAAAAACACAAAAGATCCAGGTAAAAATATTCGATGCAAACTCTGGTAAGTTTCTCGAAACCAAAACTTTTCAATATAATCCTAAGCCAGTAATATGCAGTCCAAGAATTACAATAGGTCAGTGGACCTGTGAATAAAAAAAATATCATCCCCCACTCCCCAACAGCCCATCACACGAGGCCCCAGTTCAAGTACAATGCCAAACGTAAAGCGGGATCGAGGCCCAATGAAGCTGATATCGAAAAATTAGTTGGGCCTGTTAATGATGCCTACCATGAGGCCCTCATCAATAGCCCAACCCTAGACCTATACCCAACTAGCGATGAGGCCTTGGGCTACCACGCCACTACCCAATCAACCAATGGGGTCCATACCCAATTGGAACCACCCAACCCAAATAATTACCTCTACCCAAATACCTACGTGCCCCCTACACCCCTCCTATCGGAGTACTCTAATGGGAAAAACTCACCATACTCCATAAACACTCAAGTGCCTCACCTGAGAATCCTCTCAATCTCATGTGACATGAAACCTTCCGTCCACTCCAACAGATACCACATTAATTTCAAATCCAACTCTCCAGATGCAATAACCGATGACATTTTAACTGATCTAGATTTGACACCAAACGACGCTATTACGAGTCGACTCCTTAACATAACCCTCACCCTTACCCGAGGAGGTAAAACAAAACAAAAAAAAATAAAAAATGGAAAAAACCCATCCGTCACCCACTATTGTGACGTATCTTCCATTGTCACCGAACCAGTCACTGGCATCGTGGTTGGAAGTGTCACTTCAAGGATAAGGCCCAGCCTACAATTTCACCATAGGAAATCAACCAGTAACCCTAATTGTCCAAAACCCTGCACATTTGGAGAGGGTAACGGTGGAGGCCCTAAATAGGGCATTGGCAGCCTTTGGCCCAAGCCTGTGGCAGGTGATGACAAGCAATGGCAACATGCAACCCAGTCAGGATCCATCATTGATCAACACCCTCATCCCCCAAGCGTTCCAATCAATCCCATTATTCCGAGACCCGGGAATGGTTGACCCATCAGCGTCTTTAGTATTTGTGACTATCGAGCCCCAATCCTATCAAACTCCATCACCTTCTGATCCAGTTGAGAAGAACCAGTCCCTGCCACTGGGAAACATTACAAAGAAAATCAACAAAGCCCTAACACTTCTGAAAAGGAAAAGCCCACCGAAAATGGAGGGAACAACCTACGACCCTCTTCGCACAGACTCTCTCTTATTGGACTCAGTCAGAGCAATCGAGTTTAATGTGGATAGCAGTGAGTTTCTTGTGTTGATGTGTCCCAGATCCCTGACCAACTGTGGTCTGAGCTTGGTCTCTCACCACAGTCAGGGTGTGACCAAACTACTCCTCAATCTGATCCCAGTTCTAAGCATGACGAGC